GGGGGAGGGGGGAGGGATATATATTAATTATATCAATTTCCATTGTCCTGAGTGTTCTTAAACGAGTGTCTGCATACATGTACTAAAGTACGTATGTTAAGATACTTCATGGTATATTACCACTTCATGGGATAAATGCTCTGATTTTACTGTCAAATCGACTTCATAGGATAAAATGCGACTTCATCTCCACATAAGATATTGTCTGCGACTTCATGGGATAATGATTAAAAAGTACCTGTTGTTGGCCCACCGCTATGAGAGAGAACGTTTTTGTACTGTAAATATTATCCAAAATAGGTAAACTGTACGTTTCAATTTACTTGTATGACTGAATAGGGTTTCTTAAGTGGTATTGGATGCATGTTTTGAGTTATTTGAAAATACACAGGCATATGTAGGTGAGGATCCAGTATTTCTAAAAATCAGTACATTATGGGAGATTGTGGTCAGCGTTGACAAAAATGGGGTCCAGACCCCCTGGGCCCTCCCTTCCCAGATCCGCTTGATGCATAAAACTAATGGATCAGGTAAACCAGGCTATGAAAACAAAATTTACGCCTAGGTTACTGGATTGTAAGATGGATAAATATACAAATAGGAGTCAATTATTAAAGATAAATAAATAGATAATAGTGTTGAAAAAGAAGCAGAGAAGGTCGTGTATATAATTGTGCTCTACAATTATCTTGATCTAGTCGCGTCCCACTCTGAAAAGACTAATTTTTCCATGAGGAAAGACACGCGCAAGTGTAATGATTTACGTCGGCGTTCGGAGGAGGGAGGGGGTAGGCCTACTTGTTGTTTAGCAGCCTAATTAACGTAGTTGATCTGCGAGATCAACAGGCTTGTAGATTGATATTTATTCAGAATTGTGGTTGATTGTAATTTTTACATCGTAATTTCTGCTATCTACCCGTAGATCTTTAGTAGTGGGACTTTGCAGTCCTTGGGGGGGGGATATTTTTTATATCGTTGTTACTGGCATCCTCTATCCATTAAAGTGAGGAACACGAGACGTTGGGGATATTTAAACTTGCCATTAGGAATGTGCACGTCTTTTGGATTTTTGGTGACTTTGGTGACCGAGGGGTGGTTGATTATTATCTTTAAATTGTATTTTCTGCTATATACCCATAAGTCTTTAGGTTGAGGAAACTAAAATGTCGGGGTGTGCATAGGCAGTTTTTTTTTTTTTTGTTTTTTTTTTTTTTTTTTTTTTTTTTTTTTTTTTTTTTTTTTTTTTTTTTTTTTTTTTTTTTTTGTGACCTGGGGTGTGGCTGTCCTTGGGGATGGTGCACATATATATATTACCGTAATGTGAAATAGATTATGCATGTATATAATAAATTGTCCACCACAGGGAAAGTTTGACTAATATAACCGTACCTAGCCGAGACAACCCTGTCCCCATTCCAATTCTACCTCTATAGAACTTCACATATTGACTAAGAAAAAAATCTGGTTGCAAAATGCGTTCCGGTTGAAAAATTCGTTTTCACGATTTCCTTTGGTTGCAAAATGCGTTGCAGTTGCAAAATGCGGCTCTACACCAGTTTTATGAATCCCCAGCATTTCATTCTCCCAAACAACTATCGGGACAGTTGACCGTTTCAAGTCATTCAGATTTCAGACTTTCCGACCTTAAGCGTTTTCATTAAGTATGTAGGCCAGGAGGTCAATCTTTTTAAACGATCGAGGTATATTCGAAGCATTTATGTCGCATATCAATAGAAAAGCCTATTTTGACAGCTTGTTATTGCAAGTCATAACATTTATGTCATAGTTACAAAAGAGATACTTCTATAACACGAATAATGGAATAGACGGTTTGTTAAAGATATTAATGTGCACCTAGTGTGGAGCAAAATTTAAAACTCTCTGCCTAGTTGAGTTCTCAACCTACAGTGGAAAGACATACATTCTTGCTACTGTGTACTAGCCACATCTATAAACCTGCGCCGTCAATCAAATCACACATGGTCAGTTTTATGCCCTAGTTTAAAGGCAGGGAAGGTGTTTATTTATACTCTTCATTTGTCTTATACATCTAGTGCCTTAGACCCGCCATGATTCAACGTCCAAATATTATCAGTTTTGAATCGTCCTGAAATCTGAAAAAATCTCAAAACTAAATGGGTAAAACAAAAAACTAGCTTTATACCGGAACTCTTGAAATAAAGTACATTAATTATAGAAGTTAATCTCACGGGTATCTACGAGAACATCTGAAAATAACAGCTTCATTAAACTCCAACGAAATAAAATACGCACCATCATGTGAGTGAGTAATGTTACTTCCCCCCCCCCCCCACACACACACACACATACACACACACACCCATTGCAAATACACGCGTCACTCTCGAAATCATGGTCTAGAATAAAACATCATATCGACCTTTACGCCTAATTTCCACATCCAACCAGAACTGAAACATGTTTGGATACAATGTCCCATGAAGTGGTAATATACTACGAAGTCTCCTAAGGGTCCTTATTTTTTAACCAATGAAGTCAATTTCTATCACGAAGTAGTAATTCTTATCCTATAATATACTATGTGACTGGAAAACCACTATCAAAAACGGGACAGGAAATAGGACAAACTCGCGTCCTCTTTTGTTGAATTTCCATTTTAAATCATATATATATAGCATTGGTCAAAAAGGTTTTCCCACCCCATTTCCATGTACTTTTATTTACAAATGATCACCTCATTGCTATGAACTGTTAGAAATAGTGCTTTTTATTACGGATACCGTGTCTAACATGATTAATGGTTTAAAAAAATACAAAATAGTGGTGAAAATATACACATTTTATACCATTTAGTAAAATTTATAAGAGGTACCCCCTCAAATCGACTGTTTCACTGTGACTTCTACAGATGTAAAGAAATGTCTATAAAATTGAAAAGGCGCCATCAAATGTCACCAAATTCGCACGCAATTAGCATTAGGGTGTTCTCATTAAAGATCACGTGCCTAACAACGTGTGCGTCTACCGCGTACTGCAATTATCTCCTGTAGACGGCGCGACAAGCCTTCAACATGGGCAACAATTCTGTTATGTGGGATATTGTCCCATTCATCCTAAAGAGCGTGGCGGAATTGGTCAAGATTATTTAGGAATTGGTTCTCCTCTGCAGTGCACATTCCAATTTATGCCACAGGTGCTCAGCAGGATTAATATCAGGACTCAAAAGCATTGTCCCATCCTCAGAGCCCTGTGTTTGTGCAACAAACCGTTTGCCAGACGAGAGCTGTGAGCAAGTGCGTCGTCACAATGAAGCCAGTAGTATCCCTGAAGTCACCTCTTGCAAATGGAGTGAGATTTCTGTTGAGAATGTTACATCAAAATGCCCCTGTTACGTTTTGTTCCAAAAGGAACAATGTACTAATACCATGGGCTTGGAATGTTCTCCAAATGCGGATTGATCTAACACCTCAGGCGATATTATCCTGCACACACCCTTCCAAGAGGCATTTTTTAACATGTCTATGGACCCACTTTGACCATCGATGGGATACATCTTCAAGTACTGACTTTGGGGTTAACTCCAGGCTTTATCATGACTGCACACTTGCTCACACCTCTCGCCTGGCAACTGTTTATTGAAGAAACATAATGGTCTAAGGATGGAACCACCATCTTTGAGCCCTGATATCAAACTTACTAATCAACTGTGACATGTATTGGAGTGTGCAATGCAAAGGAGAACTAACCCCATAAAAACGTGTGCCAACTCCCCCAACCTGTTTAAGAAGAATGGGACAATATCCTACAAAACAGAATTGTCGCGCCGTCTACAGGAAATAATTGCAGTACGCGGTAGACGCACACGCTGTTAGGCACGTGATCTTTAATGAGAACACCCTAATGCTAATTGTGTGCGAATTTGGTGACATTTGATGGCGTCTTTTCAATTTTATAGACATTTCTTTACATCTTTAGAAGTCACAGTGAAACAGTCGATTTGAGGGGGTACCTCTTATAAATTTTACTAAATGGTATAAAATATGTATATTTTCACCACTATTTTGTATTTTTTAAACCATTAATCATGTTAGACACGGTATACGTAATAAAAAGCACTATTTCTAACAATTAACAGCTGTTAGGTGATCATTTGTAAATAAAAGTACATGGAAATGGGGGTGGGACAACCTTTTTGACCAATGCTATATATATATATATATATATCCTAAGATCTAATAAACCAACTGGTATATTTGATCTTTAAAATATACCTGGCTGTTGTTATTTGAAATGAATCATATGTTGGCAGTTATTTCCGAACTGTAAGGTTATAATACGATTTTTAACTAAAATTGAGACTAAAATTTACTGACCAACGGTGGACAAACGAAAGACCTCCAGTACGGTTGCTTCCGTGAATGGCATCCTGGCCTTGTCTTCCATCTTGGCAACACGACCTTGACCTATGACCTTAAGTTAAACACATTAAATCTTATCGATCACTTAATTAAAATTTTTAAATAAAAAAGCACGTTCATTTTGGAACATGTTTTTTTCACAAGCATAAAACCGTTGCAGCACAATCAAAATACATGTAAAAAGCCAACTTCTAAACTATTAATATACCAGTCTCACGTGCTCAGTTTTATGACGTTACCTGATCAATTTCCTGTTGCACCCTCTTCTGAGCGTCCGGATGATTTACCATATGAACCAGGGACCATCTCAAAGTATTAGCTGTTGTGTCGGTGCCAGCCAAATAGAGATCAACGATGATGCGAAATACGTTCCATTCTGAAATTTAAGCCCACTGCATGACTTAAAGTGTTTCATATATATTTTACAGCTACCTCGGTGAAACCACATACTGGTTTTTTGCACGTTTGTACATGTACCGGTATATATATGGATAGCCCATCATTGATCAGTCCAAGTTTACACGATCTATAGATTAGTTAGCACTTGATACTTGCTGGGTTTAATTTTTCAAACACAAATAATAATCCCGTATTCACATTTCATCAATGCAAGGTTAGATTTTTACGTGAACAGGTCCTTTAAGAGTAATATACATATACTGTACCTGTGTAGACCTCGGGATCTTCCTCCTCTTGTGTGACATTTATGAAGAGGTCAATGAAGTCCCGGATGTCAGTTGGATCAAAGGACTGGCGGTGTTTTTCGACTTCTTGTCGTATCAAACTATATAGCTTGTCCACAAGGGCGATCATCTTCTTCATCTGAAAAAAAGTTATTAAAACTTATACTTTATGGCATACCACCGGGAAAACGCACACGTGCATCTGACACTTTTTATCTACATATTGCTCAAATTGCGAGTGGAATAATTTGATCATTTAGTAAGTACTAGTAAACTGATAATTATAAAATATAACACGAGGAACAAATGGAAAATACAGTATTTGGAAATAGATACTACGAAAAAGCTTTTGGAGAATGTACAAATGTAAAAGGCTTAAAAAAGAAACGGGTGAACTAATAATGGTAATAGAATTTAAAAGAAATTACCGGCATGATGAACCGTGCCAAGTTGGTAAGTAAGACTGGCCCTTCGCCAAGTCGCAGTACCTCCTCTAGAACTGGCAGCATTTCTGGGGTGTCATTATAGTCATATCTGAAAGTCATTTGAAAATAAAATAAAAATGCTACATTTTTACTAAAATGCTTAATGATGCTAAATTAGATGTCCGTACGCGGTATTTTGGAAAAATCAATTTCATGAATACGATGGCTAACAGCGACTAAATGTAAATTCGTCGAATTTTTACGAGTAGCCCCTTAATTCCCATCAATTAATTTTATGACAAGTACAAAAAAGTTATGGGTACAGTGGTCTATAATTACCTTGTTCCAAATACAACGATAGAAATAATGTTGCTGACAGCTTTTCCAATCCTTTCTCTGGGAGAGAAAGCCTTTCCATTTTCATTTTCAATGTTTTGCACCAAATATCTTGCCTCATCCTGAATTCTTTCTTGTAAACTTTTTCTTCCGAGGCCGAGATCTCGAAGAGACGAGAGCGTGAATCTCCTCAGTTCCTTCCATGCCTTCCCGGATTTAAATAAAACTCCAGCTCCTGCAGTTTAAGCATTGTGTTAAAAGACGAATAGGTATATACCTCCTACAGAAAGTTTCTAAATATCTTTACTTCCAAATACATGTACAAATGTCTTTACTACATGTATGTACGTTTTTTCTTTAAAGACCCGCCTAAAATACCTGTGCCTTTTCTCCTGCCTTCAACTTATCCCAGCGCTACAGCCAATAGGGGTTACTTCTAATGCTTTCTACATGTACTCAGTAACAGTAATGGCGTACACAAAGATACTAAAAGGCCCAGAGAGAGAGAGAGAGAGAGAGAGAGATGACGGATCGTGTGTAAATACATGCACTATTACTACACAGTTCATGTTTAAGATAATTTAATGCCCTTTTTACGAACCACCCTGAACCTCATCAAGCAGCGGAGATTTATCAGATAATCTAAACAGTGAAAAACTAAGTCGGTTGTGTTTGTTGCAGACCCAAGTTAACATAACCTACATACGTGAATATGAGACATAAGGTCATGGGTTAACTTTCCAAACAACAAATAGCATTTGAATTCGATACGAATGGTGAGTTCAGGAGGATCAACTTTCAATTTATCCCCTACCCCTCTTTTTTTTTACCTCCGTGGGTCTTTTTCCCTCACACACGCGCGCACGTACAAACACACACGATTTCCACAATCCTGGATATAGCAATGTGCGAGCATATACCGGGGGTAGAGGTACGTGAATTTGCATATACGATAATTGCATTCATTTATTTAAAAACTCGTAATTACCGTCTTTTCCAACTATTTGTCTTAAGAAATAGATCCAAGTAGGTCTGGCGCTGACAGTATCTGCGTTCTTCACGAAAGCTTCTTGGATCAGCTCATAAGTCCCCAGCATTATCATGTGCTGTTCACCAAATTTAACGTGCATGATATCTCCGTATGTATCATACCATGGAAGAAGATCTGTCGGTTGTCTTCTCCTACCGCTGATCATCATCTGTGGGAGACATCCCACTACGGGGAAACAGACAGGTCCGGGCGGCCATTTCACCCGAGGATTCCTCAACGACAGCATCCACAGACTTAACAACAACACTGCTACGAATATCAAAACAGTCGGCTGAGCAGCAGTTGAGAAAAACTCCATAACACCATGTACGGCGTTGGCCATATTGAGCTTAGCGTGTTGATGACGCAAAATATTTGAAAGTTACAATTTCTATACCAGCACAAAGTGAGAAACAGTATGACGGTAACAATACATATAGCGGCCTAACCCCTGAAAGTTAACACGGCTCAAGGCCAATTCATGCTCCATTTAACCCGCTAGTAGCGCCAGCGTGTGCACGTGTACATACATGTATGATCATAGCAAACCTCGAAGGGGTTGCACTGAAAGTCTAAACAGTTTGTGTACAGGGGTCGGAGGGTGACGCCCCCCCCCCCCCCCC